GAAGAGGATGTAAAAAATCATCAAATCTTTAAAATATAGGAGTAATGAGGAAGACTTCGTTTAATCTTCTGCATGTTTTTATTTTGATGAAAATTGTAGGAAAATTTAACTTGGGGAGAATTTATTTGCAGGTGATGATGGATGAAACTGTAGCTCAAATGAATTCATTCAACATCTCTAAAAGGTGGACATTGTTCAAAATATATGTCATTTCTGCAAAAAGATCTTTTCTTTCTCACTTGGCAATATCTCAAAAATAACCAAATGCATGCAAATAAGAAAAGGAAACCGATGAACTTCTGACTAATAGGAGTCATCCTGAGGGTATAAACAAAAAGAAACAGAGAAAATATGGGGATGGAATCCATTAAACTCTCCAACTATCTAAACCCTGCCAGTAATAGCAAAAATGAAAATGAAGGCTTACCTTTTTGAAGTTCTTCCATTACTAATTGAAAGGTAAGAAGACTGGTTCTTTGTGCCTTAGGAAATAAAGACGCAACAGATGTCTATATTGAGCACTCTGCTGTTCTAAAGGGAAGGAAAGTGGATGACTCTCCCTAAACCCCTTCATCATGTCATATCCAAGTTCTGTAACCTAAACCTGATACACAATTAAACATTTGCGTAGGGTGTTGTCTTGACAGATTATTTACCATGCTGGAAATGAAGTGATATTTGCTGCACCATTCACCTCTCTTGTTAGAGATGTTTCTAGTGAACAACATTACCAGCAGGAATTATACTTATGTTGGGGAACACCTCTCTGGATGGGAAGACTGCATCAAGTTTATTTTTTTTTTATTTTTTTTTTCAGGTTGAGAAACTTTATTGTAGATCACTGTTACTTGACTAACGAAGTTTGTGTTACTATCACCGATATTTATAGCTTTTTTTGTCGACTAATTTGCACTTTCAATTTTTTCTTTATGAGGCTTAAACATATGCAAAGATTAAAACTAACCAGTGATCGAAGTGCTACATGCAGTTAAAGTTTATTGGAATTGATTTCTTTGAATTTCTGTATTTGTCTGATTTTATTAATCCAATTTGTTTGTTCCTCTTTAGTATATATTTAAATTTTATTTAAAATGAAATGAAATAGTAATTTAAACCTATATATCTTGAGTTGTTTGCCTTGTCCTTTTTTTTAATAATAAATTTTATTTTTATATTCCCCATACAATTGCAACCCCCTTATTTTGACCCCAACCCCCCTCCCCCCCCCCCTTCCCCCATAGAGTGTCTCTGGTTCATAGCTTTTTGTTGATTTTGATTTTCACTTTCTTATAGTTATTCATTTTCCTCGTCCCTTATTTAAGTTTTCTAGATTCCTGCTATGAGTGAGACCATCCAGTTTTTTTCTTTTTCTTTCTGGCTTATTTCGCTGAGCATGATCTCTTCCAGCGCCATCCATGTTGCTGCAAATTGCATGTGTTTATCTTTTTTGAATGCTGAGTAATATTCCATGGTATATATGTACCACATCTTCCTGATCCAGTCATCTATTTTTGGGCATTTGGGTTGTTTCCAAAGCTTAGCTATTGTAAATAGTGCTGCTATAAACATAGGGGTGCATCAAGATTAAAGCTACAAGATAGAAATGAAAGAAATGTAAAAGTATGCTGAAATAAAAGAATGGCACCAAAAGAAAATTAAACAGGTTAGACCATGTGAAACTCATTTTAAATTGAAGAGATCACTAGAAAGTCCATTAGTGAACAATATTTTGATTAATAATATTGAAGCTTGTTCATTTAGACATTTTAAGAGGCTTTACTCTGTACCCTTAAGAATTTTAAATCTTTCATTGAAAATAATCATCTCTAGAAGATGCTACTTTTTTGATGTGATGGACTTCATCAGCACACATTAATGAGGCATGAAGACTGGAAGAAATAACATTTGCTTCCCCTACCTGCAACTTCAGCAGAGGAGATAGTGTTATACAATAGTTTCTACTTTGTTCTCTGTCAAAACATGCACATGTTATGGAAGCAGCTATTCTCAAATGGTCATCTGGATTTAGATCACTGAAAGAGAGTCACCACACAAGATTTTGTGCATGTACTGGCTTGTGATTGTGCATGGCTTGTTGTGGGCAGGCAGCTGTGCATCTATACCCACCCATGTTCATGAACATCAATACAGGATGCTCAGTGTTTATGTCAATATGCACCTCTACACCTAGGTCGATAGTATACCCATTGTATAGCTATGTGTCCAAATGTGTCTATTGTGTAGTTATGTCTCAGTCTTTACTATCAATATAACGTCAGCCATTCAACTTTTTTCCTCTCACAAGCAAAGATGTTGGGGGCAGGGGGAGAATCAGAAAAAGGACTCTCTAAATTCTTCATATATAGTTTTAAAACTCCATTGGAGTAGTGGCTAAATATACTGCTTACTAAGGCTCAGAATTCTACATTTTAACAACTGCCCCAGTGATCCTAATGCCTTGCAACCCACTAAAAACATACCAACCTAATTACCAGTCCAGTTTCGGGCAAACTTAAAATCAGAGATGTTTGCTTCTGGAAACAGGGCTGGAAAACTCTATAATCTACTGCTTTTTTTGTTCAGCCTAAGAGCAAAGAATGTTTTTTACATTTTCAAATGACAGGAAAAAAATAATAGAAGAATAATATTTTGTGGCACTTGAAAATATATAAAATTCAAGGTCCAGTGGCCATAAATAATGTTTTATTGGAACTCAGCCATATTCATTCATTTATATATCACCTATAGCTGGTTTTATGTTAAAACACGTGAGTTAAGTCCTTGCAACAGAAACCATATGGCCACCAAAGCCTAAAATATTCATTCTCTGACCCTTCACAGGTAAAACCTGATGGTCCCTGCTCTCCAGTCCCACCCCTGCCCTATCAGTGGCCTTAGCCATACCCCTCCTTCAGCCTCCTTTTGTTCTTGAAGGAGGAACTGACAACATACATCCTATCATCTCCAGCAGTTTTCTCATTGTAAGGCATGGATCTTCGCATGAAATTCAAATATTATTCCTATGGCTCAAAAAATAGTAATAAAGGTAAATGACAACATGGGAAAATCGAGTCTCCCCTGGTGCTCCTGAAATAGTATTATGAAAGAATGGTTGGCTTCATGGCATGGAAACCTAGTCATCCCCAGAGTAATTCAAGAAAAGTTAGGAACCTCCAGATCCTCAAGAAGGCTGCAGAGAACAAAGCAGGATTCTTTGAAATATTGATTTCAACATTTACACAAAACTTAAAACCAATTATTGAGCTTAATTAATCCCCTACTCTGCTAGGTATGAAAGTCTAGAATAGATTTTCTTCTCCTGTATCTTCGACCCATAAGATACATCAGAAACTTTTTCCAAATCTATCCCAGAAACAACTCTCTTAAAAAACAGGATGGATGTTGGGGTGTCCTTTGATAGCACTGACCATATGGTAATTACAGTATCTCTAGTGTCTACTTTTAGCTCAATTGGTATTATTCTTCTGAACCACAGAACCCAGAAAATACATTGCCACTTATTTTCTCAGTTAACTGAAGGTGGAAGCTGGTTATCTGGTCTATGTGAGGACATTATTTGTATGTCTGAAGTGCAGAGTACGGGCAATCAGGAAAGATGGGTGTGAAGTGGAAGAAGCAAGAGCAAGTTAGAACTTACAAGACTTATCTGGAACTTACATTAATTAGTCTTTTGCCATTTCTAAGCCTTGAACCTTGAGGATGGGGTTAGCAGAACTGGGTTTTTGGGCTTGTGACATGCAGACATTCAGGGTCCTCTGATTGGAAGAACTGTATACCTGGGTTAATGCTGTGCTGTTCCATCTTCAAATTCTTCAAAACATTTAAACAAGGAACTCTGTAATTCCATTTGTATCCAGGTGTGCCTCCTGGAGAGGCTATTGCTCTCATTGTGAACCTAACTCAAGGGTTGGAGAAGCAGAAGTAGCAGATCCAGCAGGAGCTGGAGACACTGAGACCTAGCTGTTGCCTCTTGCCAACCAGATGAGTCCGCACACAGGTGACAACATGTGTGAGCTCCAAGAGGGCCTCATGCTTGATACTGGCCTCTCCAGTGGAGAGGTGTATCCACCCTTCACCACCACCATCCAATCTCCCAAAATACCCCCCCAATAACCCACACTAACTCAGAACTCTGCAGGAAAGGGATTGTTGGAAATGTAGTATGAAATTTAGCTAAATTGACACACTACAAGCCCACTATATAAGCCCTTGTATGGACAGATTATTTCAATCAAATCCAGGGGATGCAGTAAAGTGGAGTGGATTTGATTTAGTGAGACTCAAGTTCAAAGCCCAGATCCATCACTTATTCATTGAAACCTCAAACAAGTCATTTAATTTCTGAGGGAGGTGTCATTTTCTTGTCTATAAAATAAATATAAAAGAACCAACTTGAAGAATCATTGAAAGAATTTGATAAAATATCCTTAATATACTTACACTATTGTATTATGTATTATAAGTTATATATGTATATATTATAGTATGCATAGGTATGCAGAGATGTATATATGTATACGCAAAAATTTCTGCATTGCTGAGTAAAACCATATATACAAATAAGAAATTTAAGAGAATGAGCTATGATACCTGGCTGAGAGCTCAGAGCTTTCTATTTTTAAGCTGCTTTCACAGCCAATAAGAGCACCACTCCAGCTCTTCCCTGGAATAACCCAAGTGGCAGAAGAAAAAGAATGAACCCCTTCAGAATCTTCCCGATGCAAGCATAAAATTCTAAGTCTATTTTATTTTGAAAAATCCATGTTATATTCATGTTCTATAATACAACTGTTTTTATATACAAATGATATTTTAAATTACTTAGGAGTTAAATAATTTAAATCATTCCTTAAATCCCCCAGCACAGTTGGTGTTCCAAAAAGATGCATCCCCCCATATGACCCCTCGGCCATGAGGATGGTGAAAAATAGCCAAATCTACAGAGCTCTTACCATATAGCAGATCCCATGCTAAATATTTCAAGTGGATTATTTCATTTCATCTTCATTTCGTTAAGTGGAACTTAGGAAAATGAGGCTCAGATTTCTTCTGCAATCAAAAGACTGGTGTCAAAAGTGAGACCCTCACAAGGCTGGGGTGTTAGGAGAGGACATTTATAATGAATAATGATTACAAATCACTATTTAAGAGACCTAATGAAGAGATCAAACTAACATGGAATCTGTACTATTTACATGACAGATTCATAATTTCACTTCTAAAATATATATGCAGTTAAGTTGTGACTTTCATGCTTAATGGATTGATATTGTTCTCATGGCATGATGAAATGGTAGGTGGACAGGAAAGAAGTGAAATGAAAAAGATGGTGGTTGGGATGAAGAAAAAGAAAAAGGGAGAGAGATAAACTTATTAAGAATTTAGAATGAGGGCCTCCCTGGTGGCACAAAGGGTTAAGCACATCACTGTGAAGCTATCCAAAGCCTCTGCAGCACCTTCCATCCCCTGCCTGCCAAGGAGCTACCCATACGGTGCAGCAGACTTCTCCTGTCTCACCTGCTGCTCCCCTTGGCAGTGTATTTCAGTCCAATTGCCTGTTCTGCTCCCCACTCCCCACTGGTGAATCCTCTCACCCCTGCACCTCTGGCCTTTACCCCAGTTTTTGTATGCATAATAAAATAAATCTTAAAAAAAAAAGAAGTTGGAATGAGTAAATTAAATTTGATGTATCTATGTACCTTTGCTCAGTGTAGGTCGGACTGATGAGTAGTTGCATCAAAATTCAGTTAGCGTGAGTTTGTATTGATGAAAAGAGAAACCACACCCATCTCCCCAGGAAATGGAATGTACAGAGACTTGGGGCTACTGGGTTTGTGGACCTACTCATAAAATGACATGCAAATAACCCCTTTGAGGAAATAATCTCAGGAAGGAAAGAAATCTCCTCCAAGAAGCCCTCTCAGATTTTGGAGTCAGAACCAGGACAACAACCAACAACGTGCTACAGCAGCATGACGTCAGCTTGCTTCAGCGTCATCTTGTCCTAACTCATCGCTTGCCCAGCGCGCAGGTCCCAAGCCCTGGAAGGCTGGGCTAGTAGAAAAAAGTAAAACATATTGCTGCCTTCCTCAGAACATCCGGCACAGCGATTCGTTAAGAGAAATCATGTTCAACAAATATGTGTTAATCATCAGATGATTAAGCATCTCACCATGAACATCCAGGGAAGGCAGAAATCACTCCGAACCAACACTATACTTAAAAGCATTTCAATTTAAAGAGGAAAGAGCTGGGTAAAAGTCACTGCCTATGAGAAAACATGTTGCTCATGTGAAGAGAGCTTGCCAAACATCCTGGTTTATTTTAAGTCAAAAATTGGATTAGACATTTTAAAACCTGATTTTTTTTTCCTTTCTTGGCCATTCTTATCATCCCCAGGGGGTAGAAACTGTGTGGTGTCATCTTTCTCTCTATATTCAGTGTGTTTTATCAGTGTGACTCACACAGAGAAGGTCCCCTCAGCGATGGATTCACTTTGGTCTAAAAAGAAAAATCTGCAAAAGTGTGAGGTATCTGGCTGACCTAGTAGGATTTTTCTTCTTCTTTTGTTTTTTAAATTAACAATCTGGGATTCTAGGAGCTTTTTTTTTTTGCTAACCTTTTTTGATTGCAGTCACATTGGTTTATGTCATTATGTGATTTGAGGAGTTCTTTTTCCCAGCTGAATTTTGGTTCTGGTGAACACTTCGTGGTTTGGTTGTTTGTACTGACCCCCTCCTGTTCACAGTTTTTAGTCTGAATTACCCTTTTTCTTGATTCTGTGATACTCGGTGCTGTTGATGTATGTACGACTTGAGTCCCACAGTGGAAAACAAGTATGAATAAAAAATTGGAAATAAATCCTATGCTCCTTTGTACCCCCCCCAATCAAAGAACATTCTTTCCACATGGCTCAACTGTAGACACATAAAGTGGATTTGATTTAGGTTTCTGCAACTTGCAATTTGAATATTCCTCCAAAGTGTTCTGCTTAGGCACTGTTCACTTTGTCCTGAATGCTCTTATTCTCTATCCCAGTATTCAAATTTTGGGGTCTTTGATTTCACAGCTTGCAGACCACTGTTCTATGACCTCCTCCCAGACACAGACGCCACCAAGGCAGAGCAATCATGGCAACGAGCTTGATTAGTATGATTATCACAAATGTTTGCTCCAAAGCAAAACTCTAAACCATGAGGGTGGGTATTGGGGTCTTCCCAGTTCATCCTCCTGTCTGTCCCTCTTGCACCATCCCCAGTTTGGGGTTCATTCTGACATGGGCAGAGACAGGTAGGGAGGCAAAATAGGAGCTGCCCAAGAGTACATCGGCAACACACTACCACTTGCAATCTATGGGAACTGACTGCCCCGATTAGAGATTTCTGCAGTGAGTTTCACTTTTGAAAATTTTTTTCCTCTCCATCTTTTCAGAGTCACTAGTTTGAGTCCGAGGCCAGCCTAAAACTTATATTTGCCAAATAATCAAATGGACTCTGTGGAGAAAATCCATAAAACTTGGATGTCCGGTTAATAAACTGAAAGAATTGTTTTTAAATTCCATCAAGATGATGCATTTGCTAACTACAACCCAGGAATGATTATAGTGTTTATCAATAAATTTTTCATAACGAAGATTCCATTATTATTAAGACACTATCTGAAATATTAACCCATGATCTTTTTACATTAAAAATTCTGAGTGAAATGCAAGGAGAGTTTCCCAGTGCTTTCATTAAGAAATAAAATAAGCTTATATCATAAAGCGTTCTTAAGGGTGAAGTTAATGATGACAAAATTACATTTTGTGAAACACTTTTTAAGATATCACATTGCTTTCTCCATTAAAACTTGTTTGAATTATATCTTTCTACAATAACAAAATTTTAAAGAGGAAATATAGCACAAATTAGTAACATGATAGATCCAAGTTTGAGAGAATGGATGAAAAGAAAATAAGAATTTAAACACAAAGGAGCATTAGCTCTGATGTCCAAGTGCACCGATCACCAGCCAACTTATCTTGACTTTATCATCTGCTTTCTCTGACCAGAACATAATGTAACCTTAGAAGTTCATTCTTGGCAGACTCTCAGCATTTTCTCAAAAAAAAAAAAAAATGTTTCTAAACAATGTTATTTTCCAGGTAACTTCTAACCTTTTTTTCCCACTTAAAATCCTTTGAAAACAGTATGATTTCTCAATCTGTGTTTATAAATTTAGTCCATAAATCATATTTAAGCTTTGATGTCAGTGATTCCATTTCTTCCTACCAGATTTTATGATTCTTGACAATAAGTTTTCATTATCTACACCTAAGAAATTGTTTTACAATTAAGTGTTTAAAATCATCTATCTCTTCCCTGGCTTATTTTGAGAAACCTCAGTTTGTAATTCTAAACTGGTTATCAAACAAATGCAGACATCATGAATAGACTGAAGAGTTTTATAAATATCACTGATATAAAAATAACTCCTTAAATAGATAATCTGAAAATTATTTTTAAATACACCTAAAAAGCAGGTTTTTATTTTTTATTACTTTCCTCTTAATGCTGTCAAGAAAAGTCTGTTTATTTAGAGATTCCAATCATGAGACCATGAGCTTTCAGACTAGGCATCACCATGTGTGGCACCCTCAATTTCTAGGCTAACACAGAGAAGGTTTCAATACACATCTTAACTAAAAGTAGAGATCGACTGCATATTACAGTATGTATAAGTTGGCAAAGAGAAAAGTATATGGAATTTTAAATTTATACTATTTCTGAAACAACCTGGTGCTTTCATTTTCATCTGTAGCAAGGACTTACCTATATGCAGAACAGCAAACTGGCATTATTCTTGCAGTATAATAAAGAATCGAGATGCTCACTGGCAGCTGGACTAAGTGTGGGAGGGACTATCTATATTGGAAATCAATGTCCCTTAAGAAAATAATACAGTAATGTGCACAATCAGATATTCTATCAATCCTGTCACTCCAAGTCCCCTGAACCCTAACACTCAAACAAGGTTGATTGAACATGAACTGTCTAGAGGAGACTGTGAATCCTGTTCTTTGGCACTAAGTCATAAAGGCACTGCACTGCACAGGTTTCAGACGGTCATCTTCAATCAGAGAGAGAGAGTGGCTGGGGGAGAGAGAGAGAGAGGATAGTAGCATAATGACTTGCTCTGGCAAGAAAAATTCCTTCCTGCAAATATGGGAGGTAGCAAAATTCTCCCTCTAGAACAGGCATGTGTTACATAACATTCCTGAAACAGATGAACCATGAATTCCAATGAAAGCTTCGTTCTTTCAGAATGCCATAAGTACTAGAAGGTAATTTATGGACTCTCCTAAAGTGCATGTGCTTAGTCTTAGTCCTCTGACAGCTTCACTGTTCTAAAAGCAAGTTAGATCACTGTGCTCTTAAAGATGGAGAGGCGGCCGGGACCCACCTTCTCTGATTGTCTGATCAAGATTCTTCTTGAGTGGAGACACCAGCTAACTGGTTATTGTGTCTAATGGGTAAACGCGCGAGCCTCCCACTTTAAATGAGTTGTGTGCATTTATTTTCTACAAATGAAGACATCGGGTGGACGATTTTCTAATTTTGCCTCATCTTTTGCACATTTTTAGTCTAGGCAGGGGAAAAAAACACTTTTAAAAACAGGCTAATGGATTCAATTTTTTTCTTTTTTTTTTTTTTTTGCAGGGAAGTCAGTAGAATAGTGTTAGTAGTTCTTTATGAGGTTTTTCTTCCCATTAACCGCTATTTAACAAAGATACTCCAATCTGCATTTTTTATCTTTGTTATTGGCATATCTGTAGGTTACGGACTCTTAGGAGCCATCTAGCTGTTTGAGGCTGGCTTTTATATTTTCCTTGTACTTGGAGTCTAAAATGGACAATGACAGCAGTCCCAGCCTTACTGGAGCTCATCAAACTGTCTCATTGAAAGTGATGACTGAGTTGGATTAAACCCAAGGACTCGGCACCGTATTAACCCATCTGACGTGGCAGCCCTCAGCCGCTTTAATCATTAGGGTGGGATTAATAGGCAGGC